CAATCTTAACATAACTGCTACAGAAAATGGGAGCCACTGAAAGATTTCAAGTATAAGAAAGATATGGTCAGTTCTGCATTTCAAATTACACAGCCTACACAGTGAAGGATAATTTAGAAAAGGCCAAACTAGGAGTGACACCACTAGGTGTGAAGCCTGGGGGCTTTGATGGTACCATACAGTTTCCAGAGAGATTCTTCACCTTGGCATTCTATCCTCCTGAAGGCTGGCTTGTGCTGCACAAGGCCATCCTCCAAAACAGGAGGCAGGTAGAGGATGACAAAAATGCTTTTCCAGGTGAGGATGCCCATTGCTAAGCTGCAACTCAAGTTTAGGAAACCCCAGGTGAATGCAAGGATTTCTAGAAATACCCACACCTTAAGTTGATGGTATCCTCCAACAGATCCATGACTACACCCTAAACAGGAATCCTAACTGGCCCCAGACTTGTCCAAGGAAGCAGCTAACACCCAAATTCAGGGCCTCTTTTTTTAGGGGCCATGGCTGAGTGCCCAAGAATTCTAAAAATACTGAACCCAAGATGGAGACTCCAAAGATGCCCAGAGAAAGCTGAGAGTGGAGGAAGTCCTCACCCTCCCACAATTACCCCTGAATCAGCTAAAAGCTTCTGAACCATCTCCTAGTCATGAGTGACCATCAAAGCCCACAGCTTGGCTTAGGAGATACATGTATCAGAGCTAAAATGGGAGTCTTAGAGACTTCCCAGGGTATTCCAGAGAATGTTGGAGACAGCTATTTCTAATGGCCTCAGAAAATGACAATCTAGTTACTGAAATTCTGTTTAAATATGGCTACCTTCCCCCATCTGAGCGCCTACTGGAGAAGGGAAGGAGGAGGCAGGCATATGCAGAAAGGGAATCTGAACCTTGGTAAAAAGGAACTCCGTGCTACCATGAACTCTGAGAGCTAACCTAAGCCAGTATGCCTCCTAGACAAGAATTCCAGGTGCTTAATAATTTGTCTGAGTTGGAGGACTGGCCAATGGGAAAAGCACATTTTACACAAAAAATTCTGAAGGTAGAAAGAGACCCAGTGTTCATGATGAAAAACTATGTGATTCTTATATGGCTTGTTACAAACCATAAGCACTAGAAAACCTGAAACCCTGGTTATTTTAAGTATTATCGTTTTTATTGCTTTATTTGAAAATGTTCTCTAGTTCATAATTTTAGGTATTTTTATAAAAGATGATCAATAGATTGTAGGTGTTCAATTCTTGTGGTTAATAACAAAATTTATATTTTCCTCAAATGTGTTTATTATGTTCTAAAATATGATCAGAAAATACAAGATCCCATTGCCATCTCTCTATTTACTTGGCTCCATTTCTTTTTTTCCACATACTCCTATCCAGTATCTGCACTGTAGGAATGTTGGGGGATGACATAAAATTAGACATATTGGTGCAAAAGTAATTGCTATTTTGCATTGTTGAACTTTGCTGTTTGATACTGGAATACACTCTTAAATATATATGGCTATGTTATACATCTTTTTAATGTGCATTTCTCACTTTATGTTTCTTTGCTAATGACTTATTACTTACTGTTTATTTAATATTTATTTTAGACTAGGGAAATGACATTAGACTAAAAGCAAATTTGAGTGATTTTCTTATTTGAGTTCAAAACAGGTTGTGAAGCAACAGAGACAACTTACAACATCAGCAATGCATTTGGCCCAGGAACTGCTAATGAACATATAGTGCAGTTGTGGTTCAAGAAGTTTTGCAAGGAAGACCAGAGCCTTGACGACGAGGAGCACAGTGACTGGCCACTGGAAGTTGACATCAAAGCTGATCCTCTTACACATAAAGAAATGAAACACAAAAGTTGCCAAAGAACACCACATCGACCATTCTATGGTCATTTGGCATTTGAAGCAAATTGGAAAGGTAAAAAACTCGATAAGTGGGTGTCTCATGAGCTGACTGACAATCAAAACAATTGTCATTTTGAAGTGTTGTCTTCTCTTATTGTACGTAACAACAATGAACCATTTCTCAATCGGATTGTGATATGCGATGAAAAGTGGATTTTATATGACAACTGGCAATGACGAACTCAGTGACTGGACTGAGAAGAAGCTCCAAAACAATTCCCAAAGCCAAACTTGCACCAACAAAAGGGTCATGGTCACTGTTTCATGGTCTGCTGCTGGTCTGATCCACTACAACTTTCTGAATCCTGGCGAAACCATTACATCTGAGAAGTGTGCTCAGCAAATCAATGAAATGCACCGAAAACTGCAACACCTGCAGCCAGCATTGGTCAACAGAAAGGGCCCAATTCTCCACAATAATGCCCAACTGCATGTTGCACAACCAACATTTGAAAAGTTGAGTGAATTGAGCTACAAAGTTTTGCCTCATCCGCCATATTCACCTGACCTCTTGCCAACCAACTACCACATCTTCAAGCATCTTGACAACTCTTTGCAGGGAAAACACTTCCGTAACCAGTAGGAGGCAGAAAATGCTTTCCAAGAGTTCGTCAAATCCAGAAACATGGATTTTTATTCTATAGGAGTAAACAAACATTTCTCATTGGCAAAAATGTGTTGATTGTAATGGTTCCTAACTTGATTAATAAAGATGTGTTTGAGCCTAGTTATAATGATTTAAAATTAACGGTCCACTTGTCTCATGTATCCAACCTGGGCTGGTGATCTGGATGCATGAGACAAGTGCTCGGGCCTGGTGCACTGGGAAGACCCAGAGGGATCGGGTGGAGAGGGAGGTGGGAAGGGGGACCGGGATGGGGAATACATGTAAATCCATGGCTAATTCATTTCAATGCATGACAAAAACCACTGCAATGATGTAAAGTAATTAGCCTCCAACTAATAAAAATAAATGGAAAAAAATAAAATAAAATTTTAAAAGCCTGCTTCCAAAGTCCAAAAAAAAAAAAATAAAATTGCTTGTTAAGAATGAAATAAATAAATAAATAAATAAAATTAACGGTCCAAAACCACCATTATATTTGCATCAACCTAATACAATGCAGTCTGGTCCGTCTGGTCAAGGCTATGGTTTTTCCAGTGGTCATGTATGGATGTGAGAGTTGGACTGTGAAGAAAGCTGAGCGCCGAAAAATTAATGCTTTTGAACTGTGGTGTTGGAGAAGACTCTTGAGAGTCCCTTGGACTGCAAGGAGATCCAACCTGTCCATCCTAAAGGAGATCAGTCCTGGGTGTTCATTGGAAGGACTGATGTTGAAGCTGAAACTCCAATACTTTGGCCACCTCATGCGAAGAGTTGATTCATTGGAAAAGACCCTGATGCTGGGAGGGATTGGGGGCAGGAGGAGAAGGGGATGACAGTGAATGAGATGGCTGGATGGCATCACCAACTCGATTGACATGAGTTGAGTAAACTCCGGGAGTTGGTGATGGACAGGGAGTCCTGGTGTGCTGCGATTCAGGGGACACAACTGAATTGAACTAAACTGAATACAATGCCTAGCATACAATAAAGTACTCAGTATGTTAATGATCACCTGCAGCAACAACAGCAGCGGGAGCAATAACAGTTCCTGAGATTTCCAGATCCCAGAGTTGAAACTGATTCTCTAGGTCGGAAGCAAGCCTGTGCCTCAGTGCTTTATTTCTCCTGCCTCTATCACCTCTATCTCCTGACAGCTATGTCTACTTCTGAGTCCAATCAGAACTTAGGTCCCATTTTTCAGCCAACTTAATTAAAAACAAGGTATATATCAACTATCTTCAGCCATTTGCAGCAAGGCTTGAAGTTAACCCTCCTTTCCTAGATCCAGGGCCTGGGAGTGTAGCCTACCTGTGGAACTCAAGTGTCCCTTGACAGCCCTTCACTCTTGGCCAGTCCAGGAGTCCAGCACCCCACAGGTGTGTCCATGTAAATACAGACACAGTAGTACCTTGGTCCTACATGACATGATGGCCCAATCCCTTGACCAAGCTTCCAAAGAAGGGAAGCAATGACTTATAGAGCTGGTAGGACTGAAAGACTACAGACATTTCAGACTTTAAACAGAAGACATTGCAGCCTTCAGTTCTATACTTTCCCACTTTGGGCCCCCAAGTCATTCAGGCCTTCCTTAGCAGTTTCTATTTTGGGCTGTCATGATCTTACATTCTGAACAAAGTTTCTTTTGTATACTAGATCTGACTCTTCATCCCTTCTGCAACAAAACATTTTCAAGTCTTTCTGGAAATATGACTTAGGATACTTAATATAACAGTGTTCCAATTCACTCATTTGGTTAGATCGTGTTTTTTATAGAGATGTGACATAAGACTTAACATTGACACAGGCCATTAATATTGATGGTAGCTGAGATTACTAGCTTATGATAATGTATATCACTATTGGCAACACAAAAATGTTAAAAACAGATCTGTTAACTTAGTCTTGTGACATCTATTATCATGGAATCAATACATAGAGTAAAACTTGTATAGAAAACATTAGTGTGGGGGAGAACGCATCAGGGAGGCAGAAAGACTGGAAAGAGGAAATCTAGCTAGGGGATGTTGGAAAAATATAAACAATAGATAATGAAGCTATGAATAAAGGTTTATAATTTGGTATTTATAATTATTCTTAATTAATATGTAACCAAATCACTACATATTGTCACCTTTCCAAATCTGCAGATTCCCTGGCTTTAGAAAAGTAATAATTCTTATTTTGCCAGTCCACACTCTCTCATTAAAGTGAGTTATTTTGTTATTGATCTCAGCACAGAGCTGCCAAACAGGATACTTTTCCCTTAGTCTTGGCCCAACTTCCTCCCTGTCTGGAGCCCAGAAGGCATTCATGGACAGGGGCAAAGCAGGACACTCTGCTGTGACCTCTCTGGCCATAGCCTCTCACCAGGATGTGGTCAGCTGTCATGAGCAGTGTTAAAATCAGGAACCAAGGTATGGTCGGAGCTCCTTTAAGCTCCAGGGTTTGGGGGCTACTGGTAAGTCCCCAGAGAAGAGTCCAAAAGAAGAGGATGGAAGGAGGGTGGCCCACTGTGGGGGGATTCCTCCTCTGTCTCACTGTCAGCCTTCTGCTTCAAGGTAAGATGGGGCAAGAACAGAGAAGACCAGAGTGTGGTTCTGAAGGATATCTAGGAACTTTCTTCCAGCATGTGAAGGACATTAGAATTAACAAGTTAAGTGTTTCTTCCATAATGTCAGTGTTTTGATTTCCTTTTGGTGACAGATAGAAAGACATTCCACTGTTCAGGACACGGAGCTCTCCTCACTTCCTGCCTGCATAGGGATCTCATTTCACCACCTTTCCAAATCTGCCTTTTCTTGTCCTCCAGTGCCCTTTCCACCACACTTTCATCCTAACCTCCCTACCTCCTTTGATATGATGTCTATGAAAAGAGTAGCCCTGAAAGAGAAAGTAAAATAGCAAGGGAGGGTAGGAATCAATCTGAGGTAGAAGAAAGCAGATACTTTGCCTCCACGGGGATATATTTGTTCCCAGTCTGGGTACGTACCTTAAATATTATGGAAAGAGATGGAGAGAGAGAGGAGAAGGCAGGAAAAAAGGACCAAAAAAAAAAAAAAAAAGGAAATGGAGCAAAGATTCTGCTCAGGTACTACCCAAATAGCTCCCTGGCTGTGGCCAAGAGCAAAGATCCACACAGGGCTCACTATGTGATGTGGTGAGCTGAGTGATATGGCCTAATGATCCTAGTGTTGGAAATAAGTTCTAAGCTATCTGAGATCACTAAATCTGAGAAGAGCAAAATAAGCTAAAGCACCAAAATAACCACACATTCAGAATATCTACTTCGTGTTTCCCATATCTGCCTAGTAAGTAGGGCAGTTGTTTATCTATCTTATCTTCTTGATAAATCAACTCTGTCTTAGGTAAACAGAAGTCCCTGAAAATGAGGATGAGAAATCATTACAGCACATTTATAAGTGACCTTGACTACAAGTCCAAGGGCAGTGCTGGGTGGTGCTAGTAAGTAGATCCAAAAGACATGATGGGTGCACCACAGGCCTTCTTGAAGGGGCTGCCATTACATCAAGGATGAATTTGCATACAGATTTGGGCAGATTTTGCATGAGGATGAACGATGAGAATGAGAATAGGTACTGACTCAGCTCACCACATCCATTTCCACCATTTGCCTATCAGACCAGCCCATCCTCTCGGCCCTGGCAGGAAGGATTTTGGCCTTAAGAAGTCTTAGCCCAACAAGGAGGAGGGCTCACCCATTCCTCCCTGTGAGTCCTCTTTTTTCTCTCTCTGCAGAGAGGTTCCCATCCTAGTAATAGAGGCTCTCTCTCACAGGGTTTCTGCTTGCTACAGGAAGAGGCAACATTTTCACCATCAATTGCTCAGGATTTGACCAGCAGGGGGTAGATCCTGCTGCCTTCCAAGCATTGTTTGACTTAAAGGTCTCTGTCCAGCTACCAATATCAGCATTCCCACTCACATCAACATCTCTTTCATCTGTCTGCCATCCTGGAAATGGTGAGACCTGGTCCCCACTTTCTGTTGCTTCTAACTGGGGATAAGAATCCTCTGCCCTCTCAGCCCAGCATTATATTGGTCTAGTGGTGAACAACAGGTACTCGGAATAGATTCTGGACCAATTAGAGTGTTTTCCTATGGGATGGGGCAACACAGAGAAGAAGGCTGCAGTGACATTTTTTTTAGGAAGGATTTATTCTTGAGTCCTGACCTTTCTGGAAGGTTCCAGAAAGAAATGATCTCTATGTCAATTAAAACCCGAATTGATGTTCATTGCAGCTGTATTTACAATAGCTAAGAGATGGGAGCAACATAGACGTCCATCAACAGATGAATGCATAAAGAAGTTGTTGTACATATATACAATGGAATATTATTCAGCCAGAAAAAGTAATGCATTTGAGCCTGTTCTAATGAGGCAGACGAACCAAGAGCTTATTATACAGAGTGAAGTAAGTCAGAAAGAGAAAAACAAATACAATATATTAACACATATATATGGAATCTAGAAAGATGGTACTGATGAAACTATTTGCAGAGCAGCAAAGGAGACGCAGACATAGAGAACAGACTTTTGGACACAGCGGGGAAAGGAGAGGAAGAGATGAATTGAAAGAGTAATACTGAAACATATACATTACCATGTGTAAAACAGATAGCCAGTGGGAATATGCTATATGATACAGGGACTCAAACCCAAAGCTCTGTGACAACCTAGAGGGGCGATATGTGGTGGGAGGTGGGAAGGAGGTTCAAGAGGGAGGGGACATATGTATACCTGTGGAAGAGTCATGTTGATGTATGGCAGAAACTAACACAATATTGTAAAGCAATTATCCTCCAACTGAAGAATAAAAAAAAAAATTAAGAACTTTCTTTAAAAAAAAAACAACAAACCTGAATTGTTCCTAGATACAAGGGGAGACAATAAGGAAAAGACAGATCAGCGTCTAAAATGATGCCTGCTCCAATAAATTAGTAAGTATTTATAAGAATATGTAGTGGGCATAGGCCAAATCTTTTTGCACTAATAAGCCTGTATGGGAATTTCTTTACCAGGACGCACAGCTCCAGCTTCTGACATCAATCCTGTGGATTATTATGGTAAAGCAGACCAACTCTCCCCCCTTTCCCACTATCAATTATAAGTTTAAATTTGAGGAGTGACTTAAAGATTTTCCAGACCTCTACCCAATGTACAATTTTTTCTTGGACCAAATAAGTCCATCCAGAACTTGTCCAGGGGATACAAATCTCACTGGGCAGCTTGGAAAGGTAGAACTGGTAACCAAAGAAAATGGCCAAGTGGTTGCAGACCAATGCACTGGTGCAACCCTGGGTCCAAGTGGTTTTAGGCTGTATTTAATGTCTGCCTAGAGAAAAGGCCATTAAGGGGTACTTTGCCAATGATACTCAGCTAATAAAGTAGGGGAGATAGGGTGTGGTCATTAGGGACCCCAGTGGGAATAAGAGGATCAGAGTTTAAATACCACTTCCCTGGTGGTCCAGTGGTTAAGACTGTGCTTCCACTGCAGGGGACACAGGTTTGATCCCTGGTATGGGAAAGTTTCACCTGCCATTTAGTATGGACAAAAAGAAAGAGAAGAAAAGAAGGGGCTGGAGTGGCTCCACCATCACTCACCTCTGCTTCTACTGCCCTGGCTGTAGATGTGGGACAAGTTTTTCATTAGCTAGAACCCAGTAGAGTGCATCAGCAACAACAGACTCACTGTATCAGCTGAGAACCTGTGGCTTCCAGATATCACCATCATGGAATTGTGCGTATCGGGGTCAGGGAAAGCCAGCATGAAGCCCATCTGAAAAGAGCAACTAAGGGTCAGTGCAGGGCACAGGGACACCAGCAGATTCAGATCAGGGCACAGTCTCAATGAGTTGACTCTCAAAAAACACTATGAGCAGAAGCGACAAGAGAGAGTGACCTTAGAGAAATAGCCCCAACAGTGAGCACGATAGGAGAAGACCTGGGAAGGGAGGGAGACAAAAGCTGATGAAGGCACCCACAGCACCTATCTCTCTCTGCCTCTCACAAGCAGTGTGGATGTGGATCAGGTACCTCCAGGTCTCACTACATATGTCAGCAACCAAGGTCAAATTATAGTATCACAGGCCAATGAAGGTGACCAGCACCTATAACCCAGACATCCCTACTTTCCTTTTGACCAACAGAACTTCACGCTCACCTTCAGTTCCCTCCTCTACACAGGTGAGTGAGACACGTTGTGGTAGCCATTTAAGGTTCAGAGGAAGATATTTCAGTGATGCAGATATTATTTAGGAAGGTTTTAGATCAGTGCTTCTCAACTCTGGCTGCCCACTGAAGCTTTTTAGAAATAACCAATAACTATGCATTACTCCAGAAATTCCAAATTAGTTGTCCCAAATGGGGTTCTACTACTATTGTGATTTCTTTCTATCTCCCCAGGTGATGCTAATGTGCAGACAGGGTTAAGAACTACTGCTTTAATTCCTCAATAAAGTTTAAAAAAATAAACAAAAAGTACTGCTTTATCTTAGATAGCCCTTCCACCAAATGAGTCTAACCTGACCCTGACATGCTGCACGTGTATAATTTTTAGCTCAAGCTTGTTAACATTAACAGCCAATACACTTTAACCAGTAATTAATGTAACTGAAGCTACCAGGTGTCCTATGGCAGAATCAGATAAATAAATTATTATAACTGGCATGCATGTAATTATAAAAATACTGAGCTATTCAAGATTTATTCCACTGAAACAACATATAGAATTGGGGAATTGAGAAGAAAAATAGGAAAGACTCCAAAAATTCTTTTTATTTATTTATTCTATTAATTTATTTTTGGCTGCACTGGGTCTTCGTTGCTGCACGCAGGCTCTCTCTCTAGTGGCAGAGTGGGGGCTGCTCTCTAGTTGCAGAGCATGGGCTCTAGGGTACATGGGCTTCAGTAGTTGTGGTACAGGCTTAGTTGCCCCAAGGCATGTGGGATCTTAAGTTCCCCTTAGCCAATGCAGGGGACACCAGGGATCGAACTTGTGTACCCTGCACTGGCAGGCAGATTCTTAACCACTGGACCACCAGGGAAGTCCCCCCCAAAATTCTTGACTCATGTTTGAGTCATAACTAATCTTCCCATAACTCTGACTCTAACAACCAAAAAAAAAAAAAAAACACCTCTTAATGCTGCAGCGCCCATGTATATGAATTGCTGGTCCTATGACCCACTTCTGAGAAAACCTAGATGCCTACTTTAAAAGGACAGAGAGGAGAATCTGGAAGAAGATCAGTAGGGGAGGAATTGAATCTTGTGGGCAGGAGACTTGAGGACACTCTGGACTGAACTACCCTGGCCTACTTGCAGTGGACAGCATGTTCCTAGACAAGGAGTTGTGGGTGATAACAGATATACCTTGAAATGTCACTCAGACCCAGGTGGAGTGGGGGTTTCTAAACACCAGCAAGGCCACCCCGAAGATGTTGATGGATAGCAACCTATATGACCAAATCATTTCCTATGTAAGTCCAGGGGCCCCTGTTTAACTTCTGAGTTGCTCTTGATTTTCCTCTTAAGCTAAGGCCC